AGAATCTAAAATATAAAACATGTTTGAGCTTATTTCACAAATTTGTGTTTACTACATATGTGTTCATTCATAGTTATGATGCCTTCAGTGACAATCTATAATGTATAGAGCCATACAAATAAAGAAAACCATTAAATAAGAAGTTGTGTCCAAACTTTAAACTACTATTTTGCATGAATGTTAAAGTAACCCACTATAAGGATTTAAACTGTTACAGAATAAATATATATTCTTAGTGCTTATTTTCTGATTATATTGTTTTATGTATTTTAATAATAAAGGCTTGTATAAAGCAAGGCCAGCTGTGAGAGAGAACCAGGTCAGAGGGTGACAGGTCGCCTTAGCAACAGAGGTTTAAGTTAGTGGAAGTTTAAAAAACAGGAAGTTTAGAGCAGAGCTGCAGAGGCATGTTAATAAAATACAGGAAACCAGACAGAAAAAGCAGAACTAGTAACACAGAAGGAGTTGTTTTTATCGAAACTATGTGTGACGTGCAAAGGACCAAAATAAAATAACACCAACAAAATAACACCTATATGATACACATTTTTGGTTTCTAATGCTAGAGATCTGAAAAATGGCTTTGGGCTGTGCAGGTCTCTCTCTTCCGGAAGATGATTAAATAAAAGATTATAAATATTTTGACTGAGTCGTGTTCTCTCTATTCAGTAAAAGAATGGCAAGAACCAGATTTAATAAAACCGAACATTAAAATTGCACATTGCTTTTAAAGCCTATGAGATTATAACATCTTGAAATGAATGCTTTTAGTCTTTGTTACAATTGAAAGTAGCAGTGAAGTGGAAACTTTATGAGGGTCCTGTCAATATCTGATGATTTTAGAATAAAACATTTTAGTGATAACTTATATGATTTCAAATAATTAATATTTGTCACTCACTGTGTTGGATTTTTTGGCTCCTTCTTCAGCTGGAGGACTATATCACCTGCTGAGTCCTCCTTCCCTGGAAAATAGTCTTCTGAAAGCTTCTTCCCATCGTTATCCACCGTAACCAGTTTGATGCCTTTGCCTTCCAGAGCATCACTTTGTGTGAGGACATGGATGTCCAAAGCTGTAGCAGGGTGGTTAACATCAGAAATTTTCTCTATGTAAGACTCCAAGTCCCTCTTCTCAGACTGTGACAACAGCTCATGTGAACTTTGGATTGCCTTTTTCATATGATGCTTATAAAGGTGGTTTTCACAGAAACGTTGGGCATCGACACTGCTGAGAATGTTTCTAACGGCACCACCAGCAGCATGGTTTATTTGACTCATGCATATTTTGCTCATGATGGAGGTCATATGTCTGAAACAGGCCTCAACATAAGAGCTTGAAGCACTTTCTGCAATCATGTTGATGAGTTCATGTTTAAAGCGTTTCACATCTGATAGACCATGTCTTCCATCCTGGTCATTCCTTTCTTGGGGTAGTTTTTCCATGCTTTGCAACAGCTGAGGAACAAAAGTGTTGTTAATGACCTTCTCCGTAGGTATTGAATCCAGTGTTTGTACATTAACTTGTACATTTTCAGCTGATTTTTCCATTAGATCCAACCCTTGATGGCTTCCTGTTTGTTGTGTTACAGCACCACACACTTCTGAAAGTATATTAAGAACCTTAAGAACCATGGTACAATTCATCATCAGGGCAGGAATGACTTCTCTTGTTATCAGATCCACTGACTGAAGCATTTGTTCCTCACACCCTTTGTCAATTCTGAATTCACTGGACCCATTCTCCAGGGCAGTCTTTGGTATTCCTGAGCAAATGAAGTTTGTGAGAACTTTATCCAGCTCACGGTTGGCTTTTATCAGTGAAAACACTTTTTTCTCAAAGACGTCCTTCAGAACCTTTTGGAAAAAAGCATCAGTTTCCTTCTCAACAGTATGAGTCACATCACTGATAAATCCTTGCTTCCCCAGTTCCTGAACTGCATACTTTCCCACCTTCAGAAAACACTGTTTTACTGTACAGACAGATGTACTCTTTGCTCCTGTGATCAGACTTTTTGTGCCACTTCGCACTGCACTTCTGGCTTTCTTTTGTCGGCTGAATCCACCAGAGATCAGAGACAATCCAATGGTGATGGCCTTGGAGATTGCCCATTCAGCCCAGTCAAAGCCTCCTTGTATCATTCCCTTGATCCCTTCAATCATGTCAGATACCCCCTCACAAGTCAGTCCAAGTCCAAACTGACTGGCACCACCACATGACAGAGCACAAACAAGAACACCAGCTGCTACTTGAAGGGCACCAAGAACAAAACAAGCAAGGGCATCATAGCAGAACTCGGGCTTCTTTTTAACCTCAAAGACTGTGCTAAGGCCATTTTCACAGAGCATCATCAGCTCGTTGATGGTGATTAAATCTTTATCTTTTGAAAGATGGTACACACTGGAATCCTCTACTTCTGCATCACCTTCGCTGCCATCGTGCTGTCTCAGAGTTGTCAGGGCACTTTCAATGTATCCTTTCCAAGATTTGAAGATATTCATCCTGGCTTGCATTTGGATCTGGAGGTTGCTGTTTGTGTGGTGTGGAACAAAGGCACTCATCACTGAAAAATTACAAAACATCATCGTATTTGTTGATTCTGAGAGATAGACATCCACTGCAGACTGTGCTTCCTCCAATAATTTCTTTGCCTCAGCTATGTAGTCTCCTTTTCTGAGGTTGAGTGTGATGTAAGCTTGATTATAAAGCGCCACAGCACTGTAGAAATGATCGCACTCTGCAGCTTTCTGCCAGTAAGTCTTTGCTCCAAAGTCACATTTAGTTTTGTTCATGCAGTGCAGGTCAGTTCTGCTTGTTGCCTGTTTGATGTAATCATAGAAATTACAGCTAGTCCCCTGCAGAAGGAAGTCACCGGTCTTCTTCAAGTCTTTGGTGAGGTCTTCTCTCAACTTGCTGATATCATCATGTCTGCTGATGTGCTCTTCATGAAGGATGAGCCACAAAGCCCAAGATTCTTTCAAAGCATTCAGTGCAGTCTGATAGTCAAACTTGTTCTGGTGGATCTTAAAATATTCAGGAACATCCTTCAGTTTCACCTTGGACAGGTCACTCCTTTCTTCCACCGTGTAATTCTTGTCAAAGTCACACAGAAATTCACAAAATGTGGAGAAGAGAGCTTCTTTAATTTCAATGTCACACTTATATTTCTCCATGCTGTCTAAATGTCTGAGCTCATACTCCTCTCTGAGCTGTCTCATGGTTTCGATGGAATGGCCTTGGTAGGCTGGTGCAAGATGGCCCTGGTTGAGAACCATCTGGACCATCCCTGGGTTTCCTTTCCGGGCAGTGCGTCCAAAGACCTGTTGCTCCACACGGTGACTTCTAGGAAAGTATGAGAGGAGCACAAAGAGACCTCCACACTCATTTACGTCCTGCTGAACATTAATGTCTGTACCTCGGCCACCGAGGTT